TAATTATTACGAGAATTACCACTTTTGTAGTAAATATTACAATTTGAATTACGGCACCAATAATTACCGTGAATCTCACAACTTTTTCTTGCAATCTGTTGGCCAACTCGCTAAAAATCACTTTATGATTGTTGACAATTATATGTAACCATACCGGAATCATTTCTATATTTGGGCGTTCCTATCTGTAGCTATCTGTACTAAATTTTCGGTATTAAATTGGATATAGTTCGTGCAGCATTAGTAAGAGATAGTATAAATTTAAAATATTTAGAATGTCGTATATTTCACAAAACATGTATAAATGTTTTCGGATTCGACAATAATAAAGTTCTTATTTCTTAAAAACATGATAAAATTGAATCCTCATTGAATATATATATATATATTATTGTATTTAAATAAAATTGGTTATTTCATTGTTTACTTATTTTTTACTTTTCTTATCTGCCTTTTTTGATTCTTATTTATTTAATTTCGCTTCTTTTCATTTAATACTTCGCGATCCATTGTCATAAAATTATTCAATCATCTCAATCTATTTAAATGAACTTCTAGTTATTATCTACTTATTATTATCACTTGAGTTCGTGACATATACATATATCATATACATATACAGTTTCTCACGTGCTATTCTCAAACCATTCTTTTCTACTTTATTTTACTATCAGAGTTGACTCTGCATCGTTATACAGTAACACACTCTCACGAACCAAGTAATAACATCAAAATGTCAATATACAATAACCTATTTGAAAAACAGCTAGAAAAAATTAACAGTTCATCAGATATGACTCAAATAGCCAACAATGATACCCAATTGTATTTAGAAGATAACAAGTCACGAAATTTTTCACAGGATATTGTTAATGAAACTGTTCAAGAAATGTGCAATCTGTTTAATAAAGAAAGAATTAAAGGCAACCATTTCTATCCAATCCTTGTCACATTGGAAAAATTTTTAATAAAAAAAAAGCAAAATCCAGATAATATTATCAATTTTTGTTTAAATAATCAAACCAATGCTACAATACAACTCATTCTTGCATGTTGTTATCGTTTTGGTAAATGGGTTGAAAAGGATGAGCATAAGACATTCGTTTGTTGTCAAAAATCAGCAGATATGGGAAATGCTTTTGGAATGTGTGCAGTTGGATATTGTTATCTTTATGGAGTTGGAGTTGAAAAGGATGAATATAAGGCATTCATTTATTTTCAAAAATCTGCAGAGATAGGGGAAGCTTTGGGAATATATACTGTTGGAAAATGTTACCGTCGTGGATTAGGAATTGAAAAGGATGAATGTAAGGCTTTCATTTATTATCAGAGATGGGATTCATTAATGGAATGTCAGGAGTTGCAGAGTGTTATCGAAATGGAATTGGAATAACAAGAGATCTAGATAAAGGCAAATATTGGTATCAAAGGTAATTTTATTTGAATTTGCGCGGCGCATCACTACCAAATAATAAGATCAGGTGTAATTGAAATAGATTATGCAATCTAAGAATTTCTTAAAAGGTGACTTTGCAAAATCTGACAATTTCGAGACATGCAATTATTTGCCAATAATAAGCAATATAAAGTGTATTATTAGTAGTACTAAGTTAGCCTTTTTAATAATTTATTACAAGATTATTTCATTATCAGCACTTTTAAATACCTAATAAATTGGTTAAATAATGGTAATTTTTAGCCCTTTAATATTACTAATACATTGATAATATATTGCTAATATTAGCATTTTATTAGCATAATAATTGACGAATGTATTTATAAAATTAAATTATCATAATAAAATGCTAATAAAGTGCTTAGATTTGCAAAAGTTTGTATTTTAATAGTACATTATCAGCACTGTTAAATTGCTTATTTTTAGCAAGTTCAATTTTGACGGATTTTTGCAAAGGATTTTATAAGTGAAATTTCGAGTTACACCTAACCTTGGTATTAAATTGGTAATTGAAGTCGTGCATGTCTCTAACGAATTACAACATTCATTCATAATGTATCGGTATTATATATTTATTTAATACTTCATATGTTAAATCGTTGATTAGGGAAAAAGATTCAGCAGTAGGTAATTAGGTTTTTATTAACCATATCTAATATATCATTAACTTGTATATAACTAAAATCAAAATTTATAAATATTAGCTACAAATGAATGGATGTATAAGTTAGAAATTTAAGATGATTTGAGAAAAATATTTATCGAAAGCAAATATCAGCTGTCTTGGATTCCTTGTGATGAACTTGGATATATTGAAGAAATAGGTAGAGGTGGATTTTCAACTGTATACCGTGCTTTGTGGATTAGCGGAAGGCAATACTTATTTGGACCTGTTGCGCTTAAATTACTTCATGAATCAAATGATTATCGTAAAGAATTTATAAGAGAGGTAATCTTTAGTAAATATTTATTAGTTATATTATTTATGATCTGTCTTAACAATTTGAATATATTTCCTTTAATAATAAGCTAAAATCGTATTGTGATATCGGCCTTAAAGATCCTACATTTTTTGTTTCGGTGTATCAAAAGATAAAGTTTCTAAAAATTATGTTCTTGTCATGGAATATGCTGTAGAAGGTTGTTTGCGCAAAAATCTACATGCTATAGCACAAATGGATTGGAATGATAAATTAAATCTGCTACAATGTATTACCTCAGATCTTCAGATAATTCATTCTCAAGATCTTATTCATCGAGATTTACATAGTGGAAATATACTACTAAATAGCTTTAAAAGTGCATATATTGCAGATCTAGGGTTTTCGGTTACAGCTAATATTGCATTAAAATCAAAATCGGATGGAATTTATGGAGTTTTACCATATATTGCTCCTGAAGTTTTGAATCAACATCCATATACTAAAGCATCAGATGTTTATTCATTTGGTATAATAATGTGGGAAATTTTATATGGTAAACCTGTTCCTTTTGAGCAGAATTCAGACTTACAATTTCAATTACAAGTATGTAGTGGTTTGCGACCATATATTTATGAAAATACAGCAATATGCTATGCAGATTTAATGAAGAAATGTTGGAACATGGATCAAAAAAAACGACCAACAGCAAATGAAATTTATGATATTTTTGCAGCATGGCAGAATAATGAAAATATTTTATCAGAATTATCTGAATATGATAAAAAACTAGAGAATATAACAAGCGAAGATATGCAAATAGATATTAAATCACATTATAAAAGTAGTTTTATTTCATTCAATAGTGACTATAAGTATCAAGGTACGTAGCTATTAGTTTGTTTAATAAATTAAATCATTTTATTATATTATAACATTGTTTGATAATCTTTCTATAGGTAGTAAACTGTATGAATTGAAAATACCGGATTTTTATTAATGAATAGAATTTCACTTTAAGTACTACCATTAGTACAGTTAAAAAAGTAAATTATAAATACCAGGACCGGAGTGATGCAATCACGAAGTGTATAGCAGGAGCGGAGTGATGCAATCACGAAGTATATACCAGGAACAGAGTGATGCATATCACGAAGTGTAGGGTTATACAGCAAATTAAATGACGTGCGTCCGCAAAATCTTAAGTTTGATTGGTGCAAGGACCTCAAGCTGATGATCAGGCAAGGATTTCACATGAGTGCTGCCAAGGGACAAAGTCCGATCGGACTTTTAATATATTTTGTGTACAGTTAGCCGTCTATGGAAAATTTATCATTATAATAAATTATTCATAGACGGTTAACTGTACACAAAATATATTGAAAGTCCGATCGGCCTTTTTCCCTTGGCAGCACTCATATGTCAAGCATATATTAATTTGGAGAGGTTTGACAGTATTTGTATTTATCCAATGAGAAGTTGGAAGAAAAATTAGTAAACTCATTTTAACAAACTCACACATGTTCATGAACTTTTGGACCAAACCAGACCGAACCCAGACTTGCTTTAAAAGTTCAATATTGAGCTCAGACCAAACTGTATTTTTAAAATTAAATCTGGTTCGGGTTCAGTTCGAATTTGAACTGATTGATCTCAACCCAAAGTTCGGTTTGGTCGGTTTTTAGGATATATTATATCTAATTAGCCAATAATATCACAGACAGACATATCGTAAAGCTTTGATAGTGTAGATATTTAATATTATTAGAATAGAAAAATGGAACTCCAAAACTTTCAAATTCAACCAACGAGACTACAACTTTGACAACCTAATCAGAAAAGGCCCTTGATTTGGCAAGCAGATAATCCAAAGCTCAGTCATCAGCACTTCGCGAGTTACAATAATGATAATTGTATGTATGAGTATAATTCTAGTAACTTGAATCAGTTGGGCTATAATCGGTCAAACCAAATAAATTTCAGTTAGTCAATTAAGAAAATTTTTAATCGATTGATCCAGTACAACTGGTTGAGAATTGGGTAATTTGTTGGCGGGGTCGATATAGTGTGAAAATGACGTAAGGAAAGAGTAAAGGATCTAAAAAGTTCCAAAAAGAAAAATAAATGAGCATAAAAACGAGAAAGGTTGAGACAAAAATTTGAGCAAAGCTCTGAGAGTTTCCAAAGGTAGTAGAGATAACCAGTTGAATGAAATAATTCGGGTTGGTTAACCGATTAACGTTAAGGAAATTTTTCTCAATTCAAATCACTAATTCTACTATAGCACTTAATAGAGTATCATTTATTTGTAAATTCAATAATAGAATTTAAATAATAGAATTAATTTGTGGTGGACAAAAATGCCCTTTATTTATATAAAATATTATATAGAGTTGAATTTATAAAACTAGCCTATTTATAAAATAAACTCTAATCAAAATAATTCTCACACTAATTAGCAGACTTAATTAATTCGATATCCTTAAGAAAATGGTAAATGAAATAGATCGAATTAATTAGTTTATTACCGGAAACCTAAAAATTTCGAAAAAAAATCGGGCAGCGGCTTGTTACGTGAGTTTCGGAAATTTCACGGGTTACCAAGACGAGGTCATGAGGAATAATCATCCAATCGGATGCTGAGAATCGCATACATACGCTCTTCGTTGCATACCGTTCCTGTTATTATGCATTTCCTTTCCTGGTTTGGCGCGGCTGATGTATAGCTCTAATAATTCGACATGTAGATTTCTATCATTTTCTTTCGGCATGACTAGGAATTAATAAATCGTCACTTTTTCCCTTAACATATTGTATATCATCTTTCAATTTGCAATATACAGTATATTATATATAAAGTAGTATAAGAAACATTAATCAATATTTGAATTTTTGAAGATAATGCGAAATTACCTAATACATCATGTTTTTTATCATAATTTAATGCATTCACTGACTGATGAATAGTATATTCAATGAATTTGCTAGTATATTTTGCCTCAGGATATGGTTTATAGTAATATGCTGTTGTTAATCCATCAGATTTTGAAAGGTTATTAAATGTTTCTTCGCACTCTTTAATTTGAGCAACAATTTCTGTTGAACTATTTTTTGAAATATCGTTAATCCATATCCTTAAAATGTCATATATTTCTTCAGAAGCCGGTCTATTATTTGGTCTCGCATCCCAACATTTCATAATAAGCTTAGCTATTAATTTTGGAACATGTGATGGAATTGCTGGACGTAGACCATTAAAAATGTTTTGCATAAGTCTAATGTCATGTGGAATATCAGGGAATGTTAAATTGCCCGAGACTATTTCATATGCTATAGTAGCGAAAGAATACACATCTGATGCTTTAGAGTATGATCTATCATTTAACACTTCTGGTGCAATATAAGGTATGATCCCATAAACACCGTGTTTTGCCTTTAATACATTATTGACCATAATAGCAAGCCCTAAATCACCTATATATGCACTGTATAAATCATTTTGCAATATATTGCCACTATGCAGGTCACAATGAATAACGTTATGAGAATGCATTAATTTAAGATCAGAGGCTATAAATAATAAAAGATTCAATTTTTCTTCCCATTTCATTTGTGCAATAAGGTTAAGATTTTGACGTAATGATCCACCTGGTGCGTATTGCATAACTAGTAGATAATCACCAGTAGTTTCGTTTTTTGATGCTCCATGACATTGCAAAAATGTAGGATTTTTGACTGCAATTTCATAATATGCATTTAGCTGTAAAAATTGCAGATTTTTTATTTTTTAAAAAAAAGATAATAATAAAATAAACTAAAATAAAAATATGGACAACAGAAATTTTATTTATACCTCTTTCAAAAAATCAGAACAATCTTTTGTTGATCCATTAAATATTTTTAACGCAACAATCGACTTAATTTCATGACTTTCAAAATAATGTGTCCATTCGGCAGAATATACTGTTGAAAATCCACCTTCTCCAATATTCCTTATAATTTTTAGTTCATTAAACGGAATCAAAGGTATGGATGCCATATTTTTGTGCATGCTTTGCTTTATAAAGTTATCTATATCAAAATTCTCTTTATTAAATTTTGCCATCATGTGTTTTCTAAATTTTGACTTTTGAGACCATTCGATGGCCTTCTTTTGATCATGAGGTATTCCAATACCATTCCGATAACAGTTAGCAACATTTATTTGCCCAACTAAATTATTGCCATTAGCAGATTTTAAATACCATTCGAATGCTTTCTTTACATCCTTTTCAATTCCTATACCCTCTTCATAACAATGTCCAGTATTATTTTGTCCAGCTGATACATCATTCTCGGCACATTTTAAATACAATTCAAATGCCTTTTTTTCATTTTTTTCAATACCTATACCAAATTCATAGCAATATCCGACATTTAACTGTCCAGTGAAATTGTTAGCTTCTGCAGATTTTAAATACCATTCAAATGCTTTTTCTTCATCCTTAACAACGCCTATACCATTTTTATAACAATTTCCGAGATTGCATTGCCCACTAGAATCACCGCCTTTAGCGGATTTCAGATACATATCAAATGCCTTTCTTTCATTTTTATCAATTCCTATGCCATGTTCATACAATATTCCAAGATTATATTGCCCAGTAGGATCACCACCTTCACTTGACTTTAAGAACCATTCAAAAGCTTTCGTATCATCTTTAGAAACCCCTATACCATCTTTATAATAATTTCCGAGATTACACTGTCCATGAGAATTACCGTTTGTAGCAGATATCGTTTGCCATTTAAATGCTTTCTTTTCATCTTTAACAGTACCCACTCCATTTTTATAGCAATCTGCAAGGTTATTTTGCCCATTAGAATTATCTTTTTCGGCAGATTTTAAATACCATTCAAATGCCTTCTTTTCATCTTTAGAAACTCCTATACCATCTTTATAAAAACAACCAAGATTACATTGCCCTTGAGAATTACCGTTTTCAGCAGATTTTAAACACCATTCAAATGCTTTTTTTTCATCCTTGATAGTGCCTACTCCATTTTTATAACAGTATGCGAGATTAGTTTGTCCGTCAGAATTACCTTTTCCAGCAGATTTTAAACACCATTCGAATGCTTTCTTTTCATCCTTATTAGTGCCTATTCCATTTCTGTAAAAATCTCCAATCGCAGCTTGCCCCCCAGAATTACCGCCTTCAGCGGATTTTAAATACCATTTGAATGCCTCCTTTTCATCCTTACTAGTACCTATTCCATTTTTATAACAGTATGCAACATTATTTTGCCCATTAGAATTACCGCTTTTGGCAGATTTTAAATACCATTCGAATGCCTTCTTTTCATCCTTAATAGTACCTATTCCATTCTCATAGCAGTGTGCAAGATTATTTTGCCCATTACAATTACCGCTTTCAGCAGATTTTAAATACCATTCGAATGCCTTCTTTTCATCCTTAATAGTACCAATTCCATTTTTATAGCAGTATGCAACATTATTTTGCCCAACAAAGTTACCGCTTTCGGCAGATTTTAAATACCATTCGAATGCTTTTTCTTCATCCTTATTAGTGCCTATTCCATTTCTGTAAAAATCTCCGATCATAACTTGTCCTCTAGAATTACCACCTTCTGCAGATTTTAAATACCATTCGAATGCCTTCTTATTATCCTTTGCAACACCATCACCAAAATTATAACACAATCCAACATTATATTTACCATTTGAATAACCACCTTCAGCCGACTTTAAAAACCATTCAAACGCCTTTTTATTATCCTTTATAACACCGAAGCCAGTTTGATAGCACCATCCAACAATGTATTGACTAATTATATCCCTTTTGGCAGATTTCATATACCATTCAAATGCCTTAATTTCGTTTTTAATGGTGCCTATGCCATCTTTGTAACATTGTCCAACAACGTACTGTCCTTTAGAATGTCCATTTTCGGCAGACTTTAAGTACCATTCAAATGCCTTCTTTTCATCTCTAGCGATGCCTAGTCCAGTTTTATAACTATTTCCAAGATTAAATTGTCCCCAAGAATTATTATTTCCAGCAGACTTCAAATACCATTCAAACGCATTCCTCTCATCTTTTTCAGTGCCTATGCCTTTTTCATAACAAACTCCTAGAAAATATTGCCCATGAGGACTACCACCTTGTGCGGATTTTAGATACCATTCAAATGCTTTCTTTTCATCTTTAGCGATTCCTTCACCGTCTTTATAGCAAGTCCCAACATTACATTGCCCAAGTGAATTACCGTTTTCGGCAGATTTTAAGAACCATTCAAATGCCTTCTTTTTATCTTTATTAACGCCTTTACCATCTTTATAACAACTGCCAATATTACTTTGTCCTTTTGGATTACCACTTTCGGCGGACTTGAAATACCATTCAAATGCTTTTTTTTCATCTTTGCCAACACCTATGCCATATATATAACAACTTCCAAGGTTAAATTGCCCGTCTGAATTACCACCTTCCGCAGATTTTAAATACCATTCAAATGCTTTCTTTTCATCCTTGGCAATATTAATACCATACTGATAACAACATCCAATTTTATATTGTGCATCATAATCTTTAGTAGCAGATGCTAAATACCGTTCAAAATCAATATTTTCTAACCTTTCCATAGTATAATGATATATATCTTTTTAAGCAAATTTTGTTAATTTTATTTTTAATCTAGAGCTTTATTATTCGTAACTAATTATTATACGTTTAAATTTGAAAGCTTAAACCCATTTTTATTTATTGAATTACACAGTATATATATTCGATTTTATAGTAGTTTGTGTCACATGATGCAAAAAAGACCCATTTAACTCGGCCACAATAGAATTACAGTAATTTAAGTAAACATATAGCAAATAACTATGTTTATTTATATGGTGTTCCAAATCAGCCGTTTGCTGTAACTTATTTGCCACACCCTTATACTTAAGTGTGACAAATGCAGCAAGTCGGCTGATTTGAAACACTTGTGTATAAATAAATTAATAGACATTACAATTACATTAATACAGTATATATATTGTATAATGTTAAGCACAATAAGTTGGCACAGAAATTTTTGATCCAAGGTGCTAGACATATATGGGACAATGCACTATACATCACATAAAAAGTACGTATCTCATGCAACACTACACGAACTTTTTCCTCATTTCGGTATAATCGTAGCCCTCTAACACTAAGATAATAAAATCACATTTTAATAGTAGTAAAGTTGCTAGATTGCATTATGCATATTCCATGGATAAAAATCTGTAAAATTGTAATGCCTTAATGTTAATGCCATATTCTATAATGTCGAATTACATATAACTATCACACATTGGTATGTATGTAAGATTAGAGGTTAGAACCGGTTTTATTTTTCGTATACTAAAACTGATTAGAATCGATGCCAGGATTTGTCGATCATTCATCACTTAACGTTAAAAAGGTTTTAATAAACGTCAATCTCTTTTTAACTTTAAATGAAATACTGTACTCTCGAAAATTATCTGGTTAATTCAATGTCTAAGCTCATTTCAAATTCTACAGAACTGTAAAATTCGAAATTGTACCTGAATATTGAAAAAAGCTGAGTCATGCCTAAGATATCGGTGTTCAAATGTTTAATAAAGCTCAATCGAAGATATTTATGTGCAAATTATATTCCTACAAATAATATTATACTAAATTAAGTATGTTAACAAACAATGAATTTACAACCTCTATTTCTGCAAAAAAAAAAATATTTAAGAAATCGGAAATCAGGAATCATTAATATATTTTTTTTTTCTGATAGTGGATTTCACATAATTATGCAAACTACAATAATTGGGCAAGTACAAAAAATTGGGTTGGTTGATTTTTATGCATCAGTTGAGATCAACAGTTATAATTAAGCGTAGATCAGTAAAATCATACGATTGTTTCGCTCAATCGTTGATTATCAGTTAATCAACACGGTAAAAAATCCAAGGAAAAAAATAGATTTTCGAGTTTCATAATATATATATTTAGATATTACTTATACTGATACATGTTTAAAGTTATTTGCCAATTTCCTATGGCATTGCTCAGCTCAAAATCATTATACTAAGCTTGAGATATACAACGCCATCAAGTTCGAGAAACAGAGCTTTGCCTTTTTTATTATAAGTTAGTAAAATTAGCTAGTCACTGCAAATAGTGCAAATTCAAAAAAATCGGGTGTCACAACTTAAGTGCATCGGTTTACTGTAAATATATTATATATTATGTATTACGTACGCACGCATTGCATTAGAAACTTTTCTTTTTTTCTCAAGCAGATCCTACTAATAAAAGAATATGCATGCGTTTTGATGTTACTTAAACCATTTTTGTTAGAGATTTGTATTATCATCGGAGGTGTACAAATTATCTCCGAATAGGAAAAAATAGAAATGTTACGTAAAAATTTGTTCTAGAGCGCTCCTTTATACAAATTTGGAATTTCAAGTCTGCAATATTTGTTTGACAAATTACATAACTAGGTGAAAAAAAAATCTGATGACTTCTAATATGCAGATACACGCATATGAAAATACGTATAAATGTGAGATTTCATAATAAGCTTTGGCTTTTACCATTAAATATGAAGTATTTGAGGTTTTTGATCCGAGTTGTGCTAATTGGTTTCATATACTCCTCTTTTACAGCCATTGGTCAAGTTTCTGTTCATACTACGCCTACTAAAAAACATTCAACCAAAGCTAGATCTACTGTTAAGCCTACCGCTACAGTTATTTTTTCTAAATCTTCCATTACATTTAAACCTACGAAGCCATCATCTAAAAGTTTGCCAACTGTAAATGCAAATGGTGAAGCTTGTATATTTAATCGAGTATCAGATCCTTTTCTAGCCGGTCACGTGGGTTGGGGATTTAAAATTGGCACCGCTATGTACGCAGCAAAGGTCAAAAGCTATTTAAGACCTATCTTTTCGTTTCAATAAAAGATAACTGAGGGAGAGTTTGTAAAAGTCAGTTAGAGTTTGTAGAACTGAGTGAGAGTTGGGAAAAACTCATTAGTGTTTGACTCATAGAGAGTCTAGAATTCTGACTTCAAAGTTTCGGTCCAATTACCCCCCGATAAGTCAAAATCGCATAGAGTTAGTAGTCTAAACCCGTGACCCCGAATTAGAGTCTCGTGACATAATCTAGAGCTCTATTTGACCCTTAATTACTCAGACCAAGTCTTCCACACCTCCTTCGTAGCCTGCCATATTAGGGTTTAGATAGAGTTTAGTCCGTTTAGAGTATTGTTTAGATTAGTTTTAGTGTTGATTGGTACCCGTATTGCCCATATTTCCCGAGCTTGGATCAGTTCCCACGCTCACAACGTATAATTAAAATATCGAAATTTGATAGATAGTTGAGAAATTTTACTAAATTTTAAAAAACATTTGAATTTACAAAAAATCGGTAAATTTACTTTAAACGAACAATCATATGCTCGATTTGATTGGCTATCTGCTGTGATTTACAAAATTTTGGCCCGCATTATACAAAATTTGGTCGGAATTAAGGTTTTAACTTTTTTATTACAAAAAATAGATTTTTTTTAGGGAAATGGCCCTATACTACGGTAAATTAGTCCATGAATGTTTTTACTTAATAGGCGGCTGTGATTTCATTAGTAAAATTTTTGGTAATTTCAGCCTAAATTTTTGATCGTTGCACTTAGCCAATCAAAATCGAGAATCTGCTGTGATGTGTAGCTAGGGTATTTCTTGCAATTTGTGCACTTCATGACGAATTAAGCAATAATTGTGATTTATCAGCCAGGAAATAAAAAATTTAGTATCGGCTAGCCGGTCAGCTAAGCGATCTAGTCGATTATCATCAAATACGGCTATAGACGGTCGCTATCAGGGACCCGTAAATTTTAGCTTTAAAAACTAGAATTTTTTTCTGATGACAATAAAAAATTTAGGCAAATTTTAGCTTAAAAAATTTAGTAAAATTTGGATAAATTTTGATTTAAATTTAATAAATTTTGGTTTAAATTCAGAAAAGTTTTATAGATCATTCTTTTATTTTGTTAAAATATTTAATGATAAATTTTGCTGATTGTTATTTAATATAAAATTTGTA